AACAAAGAAAAAAATGTTTAATTATAAATTATTTAAAGTTATTAAATAAAATCTGTGTACAACTATGGTTTTGGCCATAAGTATATATGCACAAGAAAAGTTGAATACCTTTGACAATAGAAGAGGGGTTCCCCAGGGTGATGAGTTCTTGAATTATTTTTATCATAAAAATATGTGTTAGTCCTATTTAAAGTTATAGCTAACACAATTTCTTACAGGAGAATCGTTTATAAGTTTAAACTATAAATCCCGTCTATCAACGTCATCTGCCAGACTATATCAGAGGTGTGTGAAGCAATTTATGGGAAGTTGAAATCATCGTTTTTGCAGGTACATACATATGTATTTTATCAATAATATATACATTTTCATTATTATAAATACTTATTTTTTAAAGGTACCAAGTAATGCTTTAGAATGGGAACTCATATCCAAGGATTTTGCTATAAAATGGCCATTTCTAAACTGTCTGGGTGCTTTGGACGGAAAGCCCATTAACTTTCGAGTCTCGCGTACGCAAGGTGCTTTCTATCACAACTACAAGGGCACCAACAGCATAATTTTATTGGCTCTTGTTGATGCCGACTGCCGATTTTTATTTGTGGATGTAGGAACAAATGGACGTGCAAACGATGCCGGTGTGCTACAACGAAGTCCACTCAAACAAATTCTAAAAAACGAAGAAAGCTTGCCACGAGACTCCGCAGTGGGTAGAAGACGTAATTTGCCGTACGTCGTCGTAGCGGATGATGCTTTCCCTCTACAGAGACACATTATGAAACCGTATCCATATCATACGAACAACAAAAAGAAGCAAATATATAACTTACGTTTATCACGAGCAAGACACGTCGTAGAGCATGCTTTTGGCATACTTTGTAATAGATTCCGTGTTTTTTTAACAACTATGAACGTAAAGGTTGAGACAGTTGAAAAAATCACTTTGGCGTGCATCGTGCTTCACAATTTTCTCTTGCAAGCTGACCATAATTACATAAATTTCTATACTTCGAATAGCAGTACTACGCTGAGTGCTGCTTCAGATGGGCCATATAATCCACGTAAAGGAGAAGCTGAACGCATTAGACAGGAGTTTACTGAATATTTCTGCGAAGAAGGCAAATTAGAGTGGGTTAATCAGAAGTTGAATTAAAAATTATCGATTTTTCGAAAAACCTCTAAAATCTGCATATACACCCCATGTCAAAATTATAAGCGCATCACATATTGACAAGTTTCAATAATAAATTGTTTGTTATTTAATTCGAGTATTTAAAAAAATAGTTTCTTCTTTAACAAAATCCGTACTTGTATTAAGTTTCAAGTTTGTCAAAGAAGAAACTTTTTTTACTTGAATTAAATAAAAAACAATTTATTGTTGAAATTTGTCGACTAGCTCTAAAGTTTTGAAATAAACGTAAATTTGAACATTCGACTGTTTTAATAATTTGTATAGAGTAAAACATTAACAAAAAACAAAAAAGGTTAACATTAAATTCATAGCAAGGCGAATTAATATAAGGTGATAGCAGGAGTACAAAAACAAAAATTTACATGTATTTTGTTTTTGCTTTGGCGGCATAAACTGTCAAAATCTGTAACAGTGTGTGTAGAAATTCAAACAAAATTTTTTAATTTGATATCAGAGCCGTGCGGCGAAACACATACACAAAATCAGCTGAGCTAGTAACACCACCTTATATAAATTCGCCTTGATTCATAGCTTGTTTTTTAAAACAAAACAAATTTCGTTACTTGGCATTTCTGAGTGTTAAAAGGCACACGAGATCTTTAAAGTTATGTCGACATCATTAAAAAGTTTCAAAATCGTCTTCATCAAATACACCAAGCATTGCCTCCTGTAAAATGTCTCTGCCCGAGTTATTTGATGAGGTTGACGGCGAGAAATTTAGTGCAGGTTCTTGCTTTTTATACCCGAGCGCACTTGTGCACAAGGGTATTATAACTTTGTTCACATAACGGTTGTTTGTAACAGGCAAAACGAATCGAGATAGATATAGACAAATGTATACATAAATGATCAGAATGAAAAGAGAAATCGATTAAGCGGTTACTGTCTGTCCGTCCGTCCGTCCGTCCGTCCGTCCGTCTGTGCACACGATAACTCGAGTAAAAATTGAGATATCTTAACGAAACTTCGTACATGCACTTCTTTTGGGCGTAGGACGGATGGTATTGAAAATCCTCGATAAATCAGTAAATATTAAAGCTAATTTATTCAAAATTGACGGTTGCAACAATTCTTTATCAGGAAATACGCTTATGATAAAATTTTAGAAAATGGGCGTGGCACCGCCCACTTATGATCACATATATGTATATCGTTGATTGTAGTTGGCTTAGCAAAGTGAAATAGTGGAAAATTAGCAACAAGAATTAACAAGACAAACTTAACACAGTGCGTAGGCAACTGGCTGAGTCAGTGGTGATCGTCGGTTCAAATCCTACTGAAAGAAGTCTGATGAGGAAATGTGGTGATTTCTGAAATAGCAATCACTTCTACCATTTTTTCAAATTATTGTTGCTTTTCCACAATAAGTTTTCACTAGAAACGGCCTCAAGCTCATAAAAAATGTTGAATATAATTGTTATAAGGCCATAAAAATAACAAAAAAAAAAAACAAATCGATTTTTTTATAGGCAAACTTTGAGTCGTTCACAACGAAAACAATACCCTTCTTTTTTTGTTTTTTGGTAATTTTCGTAGGTATATGTCAAAAATCGACGTCATGAATCGACGTAAACGACGAGTTACAAAGTGCCCTTTACAAAAATATTCAATCTGTGCAGACTGCAATGATATATCTTCTTTATCGAATTTTAAAATAATGAAAAAAATAATCATATGAAACTGCGTATTTGATTGAAAATCTCACTTTTTTCGACTTTGACGACAAAATGCAAATGGTCGCCTGTAGCACTAATAATTTTCATTGAAGTCGCTACAAGTTGTATATTTTGATAAGACGCACATCAATACCCTTCGAGCTGTAAGTCGCTTACGTTGATTGAGAGATTTTTTCATGAGATATGGAAGAAAAGCTACGAATAACGATAAAATGCGGGACAAATGCAGGACACTTGGAAAAAATCAGTACATTATCAGGTTTTTCAGGTTTGAAAAACTACGCAGGACCGACCTTTGAAAAACAGTACGGTCCTGCAAAAAACAGAACGGATGGTCACCGTAGTTATATGGGATGTGGGCGTGGTTATTGTCCGATTTTAAAACTTTTCGGCCATTTCGTATGTTATACCAAGGTTAACAACTGTACCAAGTTTGGAAGAAATTGGTGCAGCGGTTACCAAGATTTACACACGTAACCATAAGTGGGCGTGACTACGCCCATTTTCCAAAAATTTATAATATTATTATTTTTCGTCTAAAACTTATTGTAAATATCAATTTTGAGTGAATAATCTTCAGTAGTTTCTAAAATATCGCAGTTTTCGTGTTTCTGAAGATTACCGTTATATGGGAGGTGCGCGTGGTTATTGTCCGATTTTGCCCATTTTCAATACCGTCCGTCCTACGCCAGAAAGAAGTGCACGTACCAATTTTCGTTAAGATATCTCAATTTTTACTCGAGTTATCGTGTGCACAGACGGACGGACGGACGGACAGACAGTCACCGCTTAATCGATTTCTCTTTTCATTCTGATCATTTATGTATACATTTGTCTATATCTATCTCGATTCGTTTTGCCTGTTACAAACAACCGTTATGTGCACAAGTGCGCTCGGGTATAAAAATTAATTATTAAGGTTTACAAACATTTAGGGTTCTTACAACTATGCAAAATTTCATAACTTCTCTGCTTACATATATGTGTTTTCAAAAGATGCATAATTTGTATAAAAAAGTTAAGCTATTTCAACGACATTGTAATCAAAAGAAAGGTAATCGATTTACCCTTCTTTTGATATATATTAAAAGGTAAAAATTAATTATTAAGGTTTACAAAAATTTAGGTTTCTTACAACTATGCAAAATTTCATAACTTCTCTGCTTACATATAAGTGCTTTCAAAAGATGCAAAATTTGTATAAAAAAGTTAAGCGATTTCAACGACATTATAATTAAAAGAAAGGTAATCGATTTTCCCTTCTTTTGATATATATTAAAAGTTAAAAATTAATTATTAAGGTTTAGAAAAATTTAGGTTTCTTACAACCTTGCAAAATTTGATAAACTTTTTCTGCTTTTATGTATATGTATAGGTAAATATATATACATACATCCATACACTACTATTGACTACTAAACTAGAATATTTAAAATTAGTTAATTAAGCTTGTATAGGTCATCGTAGGCGTAGATAAAGTCTAGCTGATGAGACAGATAACTGGCGGACTCAAGAAGTCGATTGAATTCACGTTCTACCTGAAAAACGATAATATTTATAAAATAAACTATCCTTATTACGTATTATTTCTGCTCACCTTATCGTCCTTATGCTTGAGCACAGATTTCCGCAAGCTCCATATAGCGGACATGCTAGCCTAACCTGCACTATCTCCATTCCAATTTGTTTTCTTAGTATAGTCGTTAGATTGCCCCAAACACCTGTTATTACCATAGCGCCTAAATCAGCAATATAATTGCTCTTGTGAAAAGTACAATAACACAATGACATCCATACCGAATTGCTGTAGCTGTTGGGCAGCCGCTAACCCTGAGATGGCTGCTCCAATTACTATAACTTTGCCCAACTTTTTAGTAGGTATGGGACGTAAGCATTTAAAAATGCCAAAGTTAATAAAACCATGTCGATCCAGGAACGAATGTACGCGCTTCACCAGGATCACTATCGAATCGTGGATCCATATCTTTTATAGGGTTTTCTACAATAAGCTGCTGCTTTGGATTCTCGATTCACATTTGCAAAAGGGTAGTACACATCACACTTTCATATTTCTATTGATTTACGAAGTTTTTAAATCTTTTACGCATATTGACGAATTGTTGGCATTGTTTTCAAATTGTCAACTCTTTCTTCTTCCCCATCTTCTTTGTTTACCTTTTTTAGATGCGCGTTCAGTGCGCGCAAGCTCGTTATTGGCGTTACTGGCGCCAATGCGCCACGGTGTCGATAATTAGTGTATCAGCGCCAGTAGCGCCAACGTCGGTATCAACGCAATGAAGCAACGCCGCGCTGCGTTACCCAGCACTAATACAAGTTCCAACTTCTACTGGACCTTTGACGTACATCAAAGAGAACATAGTATTTTTACCATTTTTTTCTTTTTTTTTGTACTCTAAATACCTGTATTGGTTTATTTTTTTATTATGATTTTTTTGGACCAAACTTAAAAAAACTACTTGATAAAAAATAAGAAAATGTGTACTGCAATTCTTAACCACATTTTCGTGATTTGCTTTTGATGTTACATATATTCGTTTCAATAATTTCAAATGGGGCTCTTTGGGAAATTTATTTTTAGAACAATTTTAAAAACAGTAATTTTGTTTACTTGTAATAAATTGGGCAATATATTTTTAATAGAGATATACATTGGATCCTTGGCTAAAAACTTCTGTGGTAAAACTGTCCCTTCTTTGCTATTTAAAGTCAAAGAGTAAGCTCCTTCAATAGGGATTTCCAGCAGAAATGATCAACGTCTGGCTATAAAGAGATGCTCAAATAATTAAAAAACTATGGGTCTGACCTTTAATAAGATAAGAATAACGTAACTATCTGAGATTCAAATGCTTATAAAAAACAGAGTGCTGTTTTAAAAAAATAACAATATTCCGATACGATTCGGCTGACAGTCACTACTTTGAAAACAGAATTTTGTTCAAAATTTTCATTCCTGGAAAATAATAATTTATTTTTCACAGCTCGTTATAAGTACAAATTTTTCAAACCAGCCGCAGAATAAAGTATTAATTACAGAATTACAGAAACTGAAATCGAAAAACGCTGATGAAGTTCCAGATTCCCCAAATTCTGAAACAGCCAAAGGAATGAGCATGAAGAATTCTTTTTAAAAAGCTTTATGGTGATTTCGTTTCTTCGAAAAAATGTTGCCCTTCCCCGGTGCAAAATGTGTTTGATGTTCCACACAACCCTGTAAAAAAGCGTATTTTTGCCTTCTTGTCCTTGTCTAGCTCACCTATTTCATAA